GGGCGGGGGGAACCGCGGCCCGCCCCGGAACCGCGGGGGGCCGAGTCAGCCTGCGACCTCCGGGCCGCGCGGAGCCCAACGGTGCCTGCGGAAAAGCTTGCGCGGACAGCTGGAGCGCTGCTTCGTAGGAGATGCTCGGGCGTGTCTTAAAATCCACAACAGTGGCCACAGCGGATCCAGGCGCTCCTCACCTGCACGTTTGGTACTGAAAAATCTTTGTACGAGGGGAGCTATACAGAATAAAGACTTCTTGACAGTTTCCTGGGGTGTACGTAAAGCAGTTGCATCATTATTGCATGACTGACCAGCAGAGAAGCGGCTGCAATAAAAGAGCAAGCAGCTGAAAGCAAGCTGAGTCTGCAGCACTGCTTTCTGCAAGCCTTCTGCATTAGTCAGCAGGCAAGGGCACGCCGAGGGTGCCTTTTCACTTGGAGTGAAAAGAGGGACAGTAAGCAGGACTTTGGAAAGAGGACCTAGCGGGCCTGAGAGTGTTTTGTACTTGTTCGGGTGTAGACTAAAGCTGGAGCCCTGCTCGGTCACCGACACACAATATTTACCTCCACGCAGTACATTTCCCCAGTGGTTACTCTCCACTCCAGCCTCCCTTACTTCATGTCCCCTAAGCCCTCCACAGCCACCTGGTCTGATCAGGCAGAAACACATGGCACAGGGAGAACACAAGGAAGGGAGAACACAAGGACCACCTAGACTTCTCAGGCCTGTGCTCTGTCCCTGGGCTTTACTCCAAAACAATGACAAAAGCATCGAACATGTCTGGATTTATTTATTTTGTTAAAAGGCTTGGCTGTTCAACAGCAGGGAGAACAGCCCAGTACCAATTTCTCCAGTAACACATTGGGCAGACCAGAGACAGAACACAACACCCACCAAGGCTTCTCTGTCAGCACAAATGGTTTCAGCCTGCCCCTAAAGAGAATGAAGGAAAGGTAGACACAACGGCCAGCCCATGCCAGGATTTGGAGAGAAGTCTAAAATAAGCAAACACATTGGTGTCTTGTCTTCATCATTATGGAAGGAGTCACTGCACCTTGAGCTGGAATAAGAGTATTCCCTCATGCTCCCTTCTGCGTCCAGCTGACCATGTGTATGCCGCCACACAGGTCTGCTTTTTTTGGAGGATGGGAAGACAAAGCTACCGTAGGGTTAAATCCAGTGATGCTTCCTCTGTTATCAGACTTTTTGTCTCTCCCCTCTCCTATTGCAAGTCTTGGTCATTGATTTGGTAACCAAAAAAGCAATCTGTTAGAACTTAATTTAAAAAAAAATAAAACTGGTGCAAACATGCCTGTTTTCCCCCTGCAGACAGCCTATGACATTTTCGTGCATCAGAGGCCAACCTGCTCACAGAAAAAGAATCTGAAGTCGGCAGGACTAGCCAACCTGTGAGCCAGGCAGCCGCTCCCCTCGATTTCGGAATGCCAAGTCAATGAAAAACAAGGGGGGCACCTACTGCAGGCTGCCAAGGCTCAGTTTCTCCCCTGTGGGCTGGCAGGATGCATATAAACCACAGTGTTGAAACAAGTCGTACCTAGGGGCAGTGCTGAAAGAAAAATACCTGGCTCTGTCCTCTACCTTATTGTTTGAGCTGTGGCCTAGACTCATCAGTCCTCATCTGAGCTCTCCTCCGATTTTTCATCAGTGGCCACTTTCCAGTTCTTCCTCTTACTCCTCTTCTCTGGTACTTCACTGTGTCTCTCTGACACAGAATTGTGACGTTTCTTTCTCTTTTTTGGGGGCCGTTTCTCTTTTTTCTCCTCAGATGCACTGTCCTCAGAGCTGCTGGTGGTTGAGTTGCTTGCATGAGAAAAGTCACTTTCCTGCCCAGAAGAAGAGGTAGGTTCCTTGGCAGGCACTCTCCTAGTCTTTTTCTTGCGCTTGTGTTTCCCTTTCCGGGTGCTCGAAGTATCCTCTTCTGAGCACTCGCTCTCCCGGGAGGAATCTGAAGATGTTTTCCCCTGCTCCTTTTTCTTTCGCTTTTTGTGTGATCGCTTTTTTTGCTTCTTCTTGTGCGACTTCTTTGTTTTTTTCCGCTTGTGCGACTCATGAGCAGTTTGCTTTTCCAGATGAGATTTCTTCTTCCCATTGATAGTGTTTTGTTCATCTCCTCCTTGCTGGTCACTGTAAAAACAACAACGGATGACCAAAATGAAGCAGACAGGCAGGCACATAGCAGTCAAACCTTTTCTGTCTCAAAGTTTTAAGCAAGCCCATGAATTCAGATGTGGTAGCTGCATTATTGTTTCAAGAGTTTATTAACAGCTTGGGTCCACACCTTACTAATAACCCTGTTCAAGATATGTGAGCCAGAACCAAGGAGAATATGTACTGAAAGCCACTGAGTGATGAAAACTCACTTATAGCAGGTTACTTCAAATCTGTAAGCCTGACAAATATTGTACTTGACAAATTCTGTTAGGTGTAGTTTAAAAATTATTAATTCTGTCTAAGATCTTATTTTACAGTTCAGTCTCCACTCTTCAGGACACTGCAAGAATATATATTCTCCAAATAAGGAGAAACACAGAAAATACCGGTACACTATAATGGAAGGGAAAACCTGGAGCTGATATTTGAGAGGGTGTATACTGAGCTGATTTGGATTCAGCCTACTACTCTGGCTCTTTGTTGACCCAGACAGACCTTCCAGATTCATAGCATTTTAGTAACTCAAGCTAAAGCTGAATGTCTAATTACTATAAAAGATGCAATCCCCTCCTAAGACTCAGACAAGGGGGAACCACGTTAATGGACTAGAATTTTTTCAGTGGGTGTCTGTAACTAAACAGTGCTGCTTTACATTCCAGGCTGATCTATATTCAAAATTTAAAACTCAGTCTGTAAAAGTCCCTTCATAACCTAACAGAAGTAAGATTCTGGATACATTAGTAAGCCTGCTTGCCTTACCTATCCATATCAAATTCTTCAGGGTACAACTCTTTATAGCCACTGTGACCCCATCTGTAATAAAACAGAACCATCTATTAAAAACAGACAAGGTCTTTAAGGAAAAAATACAATTCTGAAGAGACAGAGCCGCAGAATGAATGTGAGTTTAAATAGCAAAGAAGACGGGATATCAAAATCTTCCCAACAAAGAAGGAAGGAAATACAACTAATTTGGCTGGTACTACTTAAATACACCTTATGTTCTCAGTCTCTTTTCCATAATTAGGGAAAACTACAGCCCAAATTTCTTTAAAATAACCCTGGACAGCACAAACTTGCGTTTCTAGAGATTTTTTAAGTTCCCTGGGCAAAGTATTAAATACTAAGCTTAGTTGCTAAGCTTAGGGCTGAGCTTTTGCTGCTTACTCTGACTTCAGAACTCTGCAGATGAACTCAAATTAGGTATTCTGTGACACTGCAGAAGTTCATGCATGTTACTTATTCATTCCCAAAATGAGATCAAGCATTGTTTTATAGGAGAACCTACTGAAAAGAGAAATGTACTAACTTTTTGGTACAAGACTCCAGAAAGGTGTTTAATTACAGTTATAATCACAGAACATTAATTCCCCCACAGACCTGTCTGGCATGTTGGCTTCACACTCATACAGCTTTTTATTCCAGGATCGGGCCCTAAGGAGATCATCTTCAACTGGATCAAGAAATTGAGAGTTCTTTGTTTTCCAGTCAGCCCTGTGGCCCTCCTCATCAAAGCCATCACTGCGCATCCGACTGCTGCAGAAAGAGAACAGTTGTCCTTCAACTGACAGGTCTGATGGAGAAACTTTCTAAGCAAAGGGTTAGTCCAGCAAAAAGAGCAAAAATCCAGCAAGTCTTGGATGTCCATCTATGCAAGAAGACCAGCTATCATTTTAACAGACAGTCACTCATTAACAGCTCTCACAAAACCAGTTCAGTAGCTAACACTGATTTTCAAAATTTACTATGGCCCTCTGTGCACAGCAAAATTCTTGACAGAGATGTTCACGATGCAAAATTAGAGGAAGGGGTTATCTTGCCTATCACAACAAACACAGTTCTCTTCCTCTAGAATACTCTGCAGGAGCAGACTAACAATATGTAGTGAGACACAGGCTAGTAAAAGCAGCAAAGTGGAAACTGAAGAACTGACTTACTGGAATCGCAGTTTGATCATGTACCAGGACTATGACCCAAAATCCACATAAAGCACCAATGCTTTTGAGTGATCTCACATGCCTGTGGCTCTAGTTTTGTTTCTCACTTCAAATGCTGCACTTCCTGAGCCAAGCAGCAGCTGTGCACTTACCGCAAGTCTGAAAGGTGTTCTCCCCTGAGACACTAAAACCACTTCCTGCAACATTCACGCTTCTGAAAACTCCTGATAGTAGTAAGCCCCCTCCCCCCCAAACCCAGCTTGTTTTCACGTAGCTTGTGAGATCCTCAGGCATGTCAGAATGGTGTAACAGACACCACACAAGCAGCGGTCAATACTGGTGTCTTATAATAGTGCAGGACCCACACTACAACAGTTTTATTTACCACTAACCTAAATGGCAATACATTAGATTTTCCTGACAACATTCGGACATATTACTTACGTGCTTCCTATGTGCATTGCTTCAGAGAGCCCAGCCTACCTAATGTTGTGTGTTGAAGACTATACATACAGATGCAGAGATAAAAGGTCAGACTTAAGCACAGGTCTGAACTCTTTCCAGGGACTCATTAAGGAGAAAACAAATTTATCTGTCATCTATGTAGTCTTCATATATTGTAAACACATAGTCATCACAGAATACTCTCAAAGTATTATAACACAAAAGGGTTCAGGAAGTAAATCAAGACAATTATCTCCTCCACACAACTAAAACCCACCTGGAGGCATTCGACAGCATTCTGCTTTGCCTTTTCCAGTAAGTCTCTTCTGTCTGCTTCTCCCACTCCCTTATTTTCCACATTTCTGTCTCTTCCTGAATCTGAAAGTCACAGAAAGTAAACAAGTGTCACTTTAGGAAAAATTACAGACATGTAGCATGTAACATCAGCTCCAGTTCAGCACTCCTGCTAACAAAATTCACAGCAAGCTTTCCTACCATTCTGAAACAGATTATTATTTCTAGCTACAACCAAGTTAACCCCAAGGAGAATCTCTTAATGTCAATACTCTAACAAACCACTTATGGATAACAGCACCAGAAGTGGTGGCTTTACCTGATTTTGCTATATCAGCTGTTCTGACTACCCTGCCTTGTCACTCATTGCCATCTCAAACATATGTACTGTTAGAGAATTCAGTATACAAATGTCATCTGGAAGGACTGAACCAAAATGAGAACTTACACTACAGGCTGAAAAAACACATCATGGAAATACTGAGTGGTCTGGCACAGATTTATGTTTATGGACGCTGACTGTAAATTAGCGATTTTATAAACATCTGAAATAAATGAGTTGGACCTGCTGAATTATGTCAAGAATTAATTAGATTGCTAACGTTAATGGAGATTCTTAATCTTGCACTAAAATACTGCCTGGGCACATTAACACAAGTTCAAATTTTTTGATGCAATTAAAAGTACATACAACAGGAAAAAAAAACCAAAACCATCAAACAACACTTAAAGGTTTGCTACTTTTGAAAAGGCAAACTGTAATTTTCATGAAAGTCCTGAGAACACGTTTTTCATAGGGCAAGTTTTATCGTTAAATATATGTACACATTCCCTCGCCAGGCCGAGAACTCAAGAAAAACGGAGTTAAGCTGACAGTGAGTAAACGAAGTTTACA